GAAAAGAAAGAGATAGCAGAATTCACTGAACGTTTTACACAGGTTCCTGTAAGTTCTGACCTGTCTTGACACGTCATACTTGGATCCACACAGTGTGCAGTGTCACGGCCCCTGGACACTTCATAAAAACCAAGTAAATTGAAAAATAGTTCTGTAGTGTATTCCATAAATCCTAGATATACAAATAACTTAGAAGACTCTGGTGCTACTTTCCTATTAGCTAAGCATCTTATTTAAGAATCTGAACTTACATTTCATACCAGTGCCACCTGAAAATGGTGTAGGATTTGTCTATCATTTTTTTTACTTGAAAATGATTTATTTAATGATGTTCCTAGAAAACCTCCCAAGAATTCACAGCTAAATTGTCAGAGTTTATAAGAGACCATTTCAAGATTTCTAAAAAAAAAAACAATTTAAAAATAAATTGCTATTTATATTCTATAAAATAATAGTCAATAAGTGAAATTATAAATGCCATTTACAATAGTATGAGAAGTATCACACACCTATAAATACATCTTACAAACATCATGCACAATCTTTATGGAAAATATTATAAAATTATATTGAAAGACATTCAAGAGCTAAATGAAATGATTGGAAGAATCCAACTTCTAATCGGTTTCACTTTTGATAATAATTTGGCAAATCGATTCTAATATTTATATAAGAAGGCCAAGGTCCAAAATAGTTAAGATTTGTTGATGAGAAATAATGTGTAATGATTTTCCCTACTAGATTCTGAACTTATAAAGCTATAGTAGTTAAATCAGTGTGATATGGACATAGGAAAAAAAATAGGTCAGGTGGAACAACAACAAAAAAGAATTCAGGAATAGAACATATTATGGAAATTGATCTATGGTAATTATAGAATGGCTACTTAGTATGAAATAATTTCATTTTTAAATTGTGCTGGGATGATTGGTTATCAATTTTAAAAAATGAAATTGGAATATTTCCTCACTCCATCACAAAAATCAGCTGTAAGGGGACCAACAGTTGGCATAAGAGCCATGTCACTGGACTCTCATGTAGTCAACTGTGGCCCAAGTCCTGGACCTGGTGGCCCAACTCTCGCCGGGCACATGTATGTGTGTGCCCAAGATCCCTAGAGGAGAATGAAGGAGAAGGGATTGCAGTGTGGCCATCCCCTCCAGGGGATGATTTCTGTCTTTCTGTCTCTCTGTCTTTCTGGTGAGTGCATGCACCCTATAACAAAAAAGAAAAAAAACCTCTCCAAAAAAAAAAAAAATCAACTGTAGGTAGATTGAAAGCCTCAAGCTTAAAACTATTAGAAGAAAATACATAATAAGAGAAGGCTTTCTTCTCAATTTCTTCTTTTTCTCATATTTCTGACAGAGAATCTTTCTATGAGTATAAAGTCCTGGGTTAATGGTCTTTTCTTTCAAAATTTTGAATGTATGCAATTGTTTCTGTTGAGCAGTTCATTTTCATTCTAATTATATTTGGAAACTTCTGTCCTTTTTCTTTGTTTGCTTTATAATTTTTCCTGCTTATTTTGGTTTTGAGGAGTTTAGTATGCTGTGCTCAGATATGCATACACTATTTTTTAAAACTGTTATTATTTTATTATTGATAATCACAAGTAGATCTTTTTTTTTTTTTTTTGAGAGAGATTTTCACTGTAGGGCGCATGCGCTCGCCAGACAGACAGAGACATAGAGACAGAAAGCGAGAAATCACCCCCCAGGGGGGATGGTCACGCCACAATCCCTTCTCCTCCATTCTCCTCTCGGGATCTTGGGCACGCACGCACACGCGCCCGGCGTGAGTTTTAAGCCACCGGGTCCGGGACACGAACCGCAGTCGACTACGTGGGAGTCCAGCGACATAGCCATTACGCTAACTGCTGGTTCCCTACAAGTAGATCTTAAAAGCTATAGGGAAATCAGTATTCCTATACATACATCCCAGAAATAATATACAAGAAGATTTAGAAAATTCTTTATTTATTTTATTTAACTTTGTTATTGTTATCATTATTATTTTTTCTTTATTTTTGTTTTTTTATTTCATTTTCTTTTATACATTCAATCACATTATTATTTGTCTACCATTTTAATAAGAACTTTAAATAGACTTTAAAGTCTTGAAGTTCAAACCTGTAAGGTTTAGCTTACACATAGTGACTGTTTTATTTTCCCAAATGTGATAATACAATGGTCATTGTTAATCCTCTCTTGAGGGGCATTCTTGTGTTTATCCATGAGATCTATCTCACACTGTTTTCTTCCTATTTCAGTTTCCTTTTCTTTCTTAAATATTTATAGTACCCCTTACTCTATGATAAGAATTATGCTAGTTGGCAATGATACAAAGGATGTCCTTATCCTCAAAGATAAGTGGGCTTATCTGTGGCCTTTCTACAAATCAGTATTGAAAAGAGAAATAGTGGGGGCAGGCAGCAGATGGCATAGTGGTTATGTCACTGGACTCATACATGGTCGACCGTGGTTCAAGTCCTGGACCCAGTGACTTGAAAGTCACGCCAGGTGCATATGCCCAAGATCCTGGGAGGAGAATGGAGGAAAAGATATTGCAGCATGGCCATCCCCTCAGGGGTTGATTTCTCACTTTCCCCCTCTCACTGTCTGTCTCTCTCTCTCCAACAAGCACACCTACCCTAAGGTAAAAACCTCTCAAAAAATAAAAGAAATAGAGGAGTATGCAGTTCTTTTTATCTCATAGAAGACAGTACTGATTCCCTATTAAGGGAAAATTTTTCTTAGTTCTAAAATATAGGAGAAATTCTCATGTAGCATTTTCTAAAAGAGCTTTTATTTCTTAGTTTTCTATGTGCATTTATTTCCACTCTCTAATGTACTGCCAAAGATAGAATTGAACATCCTTTCACTTTTTACAACCTCAATCTTATGCTAATCAAACTTCTTTTTATGTATTCTGTTGAATACAAGGTAGAAATCATATGGCCTGGAGACCCACTTTTTAAAAGGGCCTGGGTAAACAATTTAAACTATCAATAAATAACCTTTTGGACTCAATATTATGTGGCAAAAGCTCCCATAAAAGCTCCCCACCAGTTCTCAATAGATGGGAACAAATGAGGCATTGAGGTAACCTCTCTTAAAACACAACCATCATTTTTTCCTCTCGTCTCAAGACAGCTACAGTTGGCTGGTGCCTAGGCACAGAATGCTGTCTTATGTACTGAGAGAGGTGAATAGAACCTGACAGACAGACAAGGGGAGAGAGCTGTAACGATCTGCCTGAATATTTGAAAAGACTTCAGATCTCGCAGAAAGAGCACTGAAGAGAGCCACGTTATGTAAGTAAAAGGTGTTATTAAAGCCAGGCTTACTGATAGAGGCAATGCAAAGAATTGGGGATTTTTTCACTTACTCCTTAAACATCCACATTATTTTTCTAAGGGAAGTATACATGTGCTACCTGAAGAAGTTACAAATAGGCCAATCACATCTTTCTGTAGTTGTCCTCCTGTGGATGGACAATAGTTTCCTCTGTTTCTGGCCTGAAGAGTAGGGGAGGTATGCCTCAGAATGGCCATTCCACCTTTGCAGGCTTTTCTGATACCTAGAGCATCATAAAAGGCCCCAGGTAAAAGTAAATAATTTTCTTCATTGTGATTATCTGAGTCATTTAGATTTCATCTGAACTATCTGGCTCCATCAATGAATTCTAAGTAACTGAAGCAGGGAGATCTAACCTCCTTTCCTATCCCTACCACTAGCCAGGCCTAACTCTGCTTTCTTCCTTGTGGCTTGGAAAGGCACACTTGTAATCTGAATTTTCTCTGTTCAGATATGGTAACTCATTTATTAGAATTATTACTGTTGAATCCGAGTTATAGTTAGAGGTCCTTTGAGGCAAGTAGACTACTTTTAATTGTTAAAAATAAGTTATTAGTTATTATAAAAATGAATGCAATTACAGTAAAGTAACCAGCATGTTGAATGAGGCTGTTCATATACTGAACAACAAAATGTATTCATGATGTTACCATGGAGAGAATGAGAGAGATTTCAGGTTTATTGTAAAGGCAGCTTTATTCTAAGTATATCTTTGAATGAGTAACCTGAAACAAATGACTTGTTTTTTTTTTTTACAGAATTAGAATAAACTGAGCATATATCTACTTAAAACTGGGTTATTTTATGGACATAGCAGTAAATGCTAATGTAAATACTGATGGCTGGCAAGTGTGAATGAGCATGCTGATCATTATTTCACATTATAGTTTATTATGACATACAACTGCCAGAAATCAGTCAAAGCTAAGCAAAAAAAAACCGCTATCAACAGCATAATTTTCTCTTCATAGTTAGCCATTCTACCTCACAAACCCCCTTTTGATTAGCAGGATGCCTGGGAATGGAGGATAAAAGAAGTAATAGGACGACTATGAATTATTGGTTAGTTTTAAAATGCTGTGAGACCTTGGAGAGGGTGAGGAGAGAACCAGCTGAGATGAGTACTATTTCCCT